GACCCTCCACACTCAACGCTGGCGTTTTCACCCACCTTCACTCTTGTACTTGGAATGTTGATCATAGTCTGTCATACTGTTACACAGTCCTTCTTCCCTAGGTCTTATCACAGTCTCCCTCTTGCCCCATAGGATCCGTCTGCTATCTTCCTTGTTCAAGTATTTTAGTCGACCCCTGCCAACCCATCTGTGCTACTCGAGGCGTTATTACCTAGCCCCTGCGTCTGGGTGACAAATTCGAGGCTAAAGCATCTGAGTAAGTCTCATGGTCAAGCATTTGCTAAATGGACTACGTAAATGGTAAAACAGGCCTACTGTCAGCCAACTAGCTTTAGTCTCCGCCGGGTCTAACCAGTTTCTATCCCTAATACCAAGTCTATGACTTCCTATGCCCTAGTCTCTTGTATGCCAACCCACAAACGTTGTGGCTCAATATTTAACCTAATCAAAGCTAGCAGTATCACAAAATTTGTGGGTTGGCACAAAAGAGGTTAGGGCAGTGATTCCCAAAAAGTGAGCCACAGCCTCTTTACAGGGGCGCCGCGAAATATTGTAAAAGCTTCAATTTGAGAAAATGTGTAGTGATTTGCAGGATTATTTATCACATTAATTATTAATTATCAATTTAATGTTAATAAAGTAAAAAAATAATGAAGATACACGAGTTTTGTTTTGTTATCACTTACTTACGAATATTCATACTTAGGGTAGGGCCCCATGGAAAAATTTTAATTGAAAAAGGGTGCCGCGACTAGAAAAAGTTTGGGAGTCACTGGACTAGGGCATAGCACGTAATAGACCGTGGTGGTATAAGGGATAGAAAAAGGATAGATGCAGCAAAGACTGGAGCTAGATGGCTGACAGTAGGTTTTACTATATACGTGGTCCATGTAGCAAAGGCTTGACCATGAGACTTAATCAGAGGCTTTAGCCCCGAATTAGTTACCCAGACGCAAGGGATGAGTAATAACGCCTCGAGTAGCACAGATGGGGTGGCAGGGGTCGAGTGAAATACTTGAACCAGCACAAGGGTAAAGAGGGGTGAGAACGCCAGCTTAGAGTGTGTAGGGTTCTCATGACTGCGATAGCGCCCAACAAAACGCACCAAAATCGACACCTCTAGAGAAGTCGAATATAAACAAAACAGAAGTTGTGATAGTGGGGAGTGGATAGATAAGCCAGTACAGAAGAAGAAGTAGTAACACAACAGTTTGGTAAAATGCTGGCTAAGGGATTGACTTAACTTGTCTCTTAAACTAATTTTAGTCTGGTGCTAAGTTGCAAGTATTACTGATGATGCCGGTAAAACATCTGGGACTGTATCTACTTCACGGTTCAACGCTGATAATTAACATCAGACATTTCACAGATATGAAAACCAAGATGGTGTGGCCTTATGTTTGCTGCGAAAACAAAGTAGAACCAACACTATCACACATTTCACTTGGTTCTTACGATGACTTTGACGAGTTGTGACTCGGTGTCAAAGATTGTGTATCTCACTGCCGATGCGAACTATGATGCCGGCGAATCGTCTATTAATGTACTAAGTCAATCGTCTGATGCAGGAAATTATCAAAATACTATGGCAGAGGACGCACTTAGTACGTTCAACAAGGTCTCTGTGTTGCTCCGACCAAGTTGTGACAACGAGGTCAAGCAAACAGTACCCAGATTATGTTTATCAAATCTAAATATCTCTTCATTTTCCTATTGACCTCTTGAGCCCATTAAACTCTTTACTGATGTGTAATAAGGAATAATAAGTGAGGGCTTTCTACCACTCCTCGCCTGGACAATAATTTAGAAGCATATGCGAACTTTCATTGAATTGGGAGTCTGCTCTCTGCGACACAGTCCATCTATTCGAGCCTTAGAATAGAATGTCATATAGCGCGTGGCATGCAGGCCCAACTGTGTCCGTGAGAATCCATGTTCTTGAAGATGTGAGTTATGCCGGCCCGGCGCGAACTTCTCTACCACCCATTGCTCAGCCACTTCTGTGGTCCGAGAAGTCAGTTTGTCAGCCCGCATCGAAAACGTCTCTCGCACCTTTGAAGAAAAAGGGATGTATGCAATCAGTAGATGATGGGAATAAATATAAAATCAAAAACTCTGGCATTTTATAATGGAATTTAGCAGTTAAACAAAGCCAGTACAAAAATATTGTTCAGAACTTATAATAAATAGGTTTAATGAGAAGACTTCAGATAAAAAAAGTATCATTAGCTTTCGCTTCCCATGCAATTCAAAATTCGATAAAGAAAAATCATTTCTCACAAAGCCAAAATAACTCATTTTTAGAGGTTGCTTGACCTCGTTTTCGTAACATGGTCATATTGGTAGGAAGACTTAGAGGATTTCACTCGACTCCTGCTATCACATATGTCCTACTCGAGGCGTTATTCGCCCTCACCTGCGTCTGGGTGACTAATTCGAGGCGCAAGCTTCTGAGTGTCATGGTCACCACTTTGCTGCATGTACCACGCCTCTGGTACAACAGATCTACCGTCAGCCAACTAGCTCCGGTCCCCACCGT